ATTTTATTACACCAAATACACAAAATAATGTTCTTTTTAGCAACATCATATGACCCCTTTAATGTTGTTAGGCCCAAACTCAAGACAGGAAGCACTGACTGACAGTGCCTGCAAGTCACCCACTCGCTTTACCGACGCTAAAGCCAATAGGTGGGTGGTCTTAAGTGACATGGGCCACAGTCCGGCCGAATGGAGCAGCTCGAAAACAAATAGGCGGTTTGGCACAGTCTGAGGACAAGGAGATTTCAACCTCCGAGCATCCTTTCAAAGAATTCAACGACTAGGTCGTTTCTGCTGATTGATTAGCCAGCTTCAAGAGAATGGTTTGCTGCTGTAGTAACTTTAAGGAATTTAACTCTTTTATTTTAGCTCAGGTTTTCAGAGGGGAGAATCGAATCTGAAGATTCAAAATCAACCTGATTAGAACTGACTCCAAATTTTAATTTATCCACTATTCATCCAGCGTCTAGTAGAATTTAGTGCATCTGAACAATTTGGATATTTGTATTATTCCCTGGCCAAAGGCTAATACATGCTTGTGATATAAGCTACGAGCTAGGTAGCGTGATCTGGGCAAAGTTTAACTTTAAATTCACAACCCAAGACAATGATTTTTATAATGAAACAGGATTTTATTGGCTATTCTAGATTACATTAAACTAAACTAATGAAAACACACACACACACACACACACACACAGGATGATGATTAACGGAGTTTGCATGAAGTCCCAGAAAGGTAAGATATTCGCTACAGTTCTTTAACTTGCAGAATCACAAAGCAGAGACTTGTCTTATCTTTACTGCTCAAGATCAATTCAGCACCCGTTCAGCAAGAGATGAAGCTTTGTTTGTTTACATGCGTTTTGGTGAAGCTGAGCGGGGTTTTCCCAGTTGGCTTTCCCAGGGAATCCCAGCGCCTTTGATTGGTTGCTGATCTGTCGTTTGGATGACGTCGTTTTGGGAGAACCCTCTGGTGAATGGAGGTTGCCTTGTGAAGTAGGAGCTTCGAAAGTCGGTTGCCTTAGGTACGGAGAGTGATGCGTGGAGTTCTTCCGGGAGTTCCTTTGCTTGGCTTTAGACTTTGAAGGTTTCGGCAGTCGCGGAGTTTCAACTGAAGTGTTTGAGCTTTGGCAGTTCTTCTGAAAGAGTCTGAGTTTGTAAGACTTTAGGCTTTTGAAGATCTCTGGCAGTCACGAAGTTTCAACTAAATGTTTGAGTTCTGGAGTCTCGCTCGCGTGATGTGACAGCATGTGAGCGCTTTGTAGCGCGGTCACCAAGGCGAAAAGCCAAAGATCGAGAGAGAGCGAGCAAACCACGAAGGCTTTGTGTCCAGTTTTAAAGGGGTCATATGATGCGATTTCAATTGTTCCTTT